AGCCTGGGCAAGGTGGGGCTAGAATGGGCCCTGGCTCTGAGCTCTCCTCCTGGGAGGCTAGGCTAATTGCATTAGCTGGTCATTAGCCAGCGCTAACACTGGGATCATTGTCTCCCCCAGAAATGCTAGAAAGTGATTAGGCTCGTCCACCGGGGGGTTCAGTGCTCGACTGGTGGAAGCTGAAGCTGAGACTTTCCAAATCACATTAAAGGGGAAAAAAAGACTCAAATAACATTAGAGGCAAATGACGGCGCTAACTGAGAGCAAACTTTGAGCTAATGCACGGGTAGTCATGTGATTTTGGTCCTTGACGGGTAGCAGGGATTGGCAGATTGGGTTGTACATTAGCATTGACGTGACTGAGAGAATTTGTGCGTATGTATCAGGTAATGAAATGGCATGAAGGTCTGGTCTTATAAGAAGAGGAGCTGGGATTCAGAGTCGAAATCAGAGCTCAGGGTTAATTGGATTTAACAGGGTGTGTTTGGCCCAACTTTGATTGGGTGTAAGTTCATTGGTAATGTGCTTGGATCGTAAAGATTATCTTCTCTGGACATAATAAGTTTGTCTTTGCTCAAAGCTCTTTCTCATGACACAGAGATAAAATGATCTTAGTGACCTGTGTTGAATATTGGAGGAAGGCGGGGGGGTCATTTCTGTCTCACAGAGGCTTTTGATTTTCTCATAGCTGAAAATGTCTCCTAGAGATAAAAAACGGTACAAAGAAAGAGAAGCCGTGGTGTCGTACATCCTGTACATGATTGAATTAACATTTGATATGTTAATGTTAAGAAGTGTCGCAGATAGGATCTGTCTTTTGACAAAGATCCCTCTTCACTTTTTTCTGCGATAGTACAGGAAAAGTGATAGTACTTTGATAGTACGATAGTAGTCTAAGGATTAATCAGCAATATGGCTCATGTTATATAAGAGTAAAAAAAAGATCTGTGGCACTGTAGGAACATTGTGTTTGGAGACTTGAACTGAAGGTCAGACGGTAGGCTTGTGTCACACTCTACCAGGTGCAGGGCAGAAACTAGGTCTACGGCTGGAAGATTTGAATATTGATTTATCTTGATTAATCATGGTTAATTGTGATTAATTGCAATCGTGATTAATCTAATTAAAAGGTTTGACAGTCTTAGTAAATCATTTTTAAAATGGAAAAAAAAGACTTATGATAACATACAAGCGTACACTAATACCTTTTGTTTAAACTTTAACTGTTGTAAACATGTTATTTAAATCCCCTGCTGACATAAAAACTACCTTGTACATACAGTGGTACAGAAGGAACAATTTCCTTTAGTGTTGTTGAAATAACTGATTAAAGTGTGAAAGGTGGAGACTCAAGGGACTGAAGGACATTTGTTTCTTCATGAAGGATTTCTTTTTTTTCTTTTCTGCATAGGTGTTTACTACAGCTGTTCCCTGCTGTTTTTTTTATTTTTCACCATATTCCCATCTGAGTCTCTTAAGGAAGATGGCGCTCTTGGAAGTTGAACTCTCCTGCTTCACCATGACCTCATTATACCAACATGTCTACATGAATCACTGACTTGTATTGACTCAAGTTCAACTCAAATCCTACTTGTTTCACAAAAACAAATTATAATTAATTTAGCACTGTACATTTTCCCTTGGACAGTGAAGGCATCGCTGGCATTACTGACTTTTCTGAATAACTGATTTGAATGCAGAAATTTAGTTTAGTTCTTTTTATTTTATTGCCCAATTATAGCTTAAAATGCATTAGTATTACTCTTTTTTTTGTTTGTTTTTATCCCATAACAGTAAAAGCATCACTGTTATTACTCTTCCTCTTATGTTATTTTTCAAATCCAGAGATGAGTTGGTCATATTTTTGACTACATGGACAAAAGCGAAATCAAATACCACTCTGCATGTAGCCCAAGGCTGACAACTGCATCAAAACAGTCCTGTGTATAAGATTAACAGCTGGTCTTCTCTAAGTGCATAATCATACACAACGTATAAAAGATAATGTAACAACACGGTACGTGAGACGCAGCCATACATTAAAAACAGCAAAGCTATTTTTTCATATATCTTCCCCCCGTGACACTCCTGATTCCAGATAAGAGTTCTCTGGTGTGCAGGAGAGAACGTTTCTCCCCGCCTCACACCTGATTTATATGTTGCTTGCGTTCAACCAAAGTGTTTATCCACGTCGGATGCATTATCACACTGACCGGCTCTGAATATCTGACCTTTACGGCACTACATAAATGCATGTGTGTGCGTGTGTGTGCACTTAGTGTGTGAGGGTGAATACATTTAAGATCGCTCGCGTCCAGAGATGCAGTAGTGTATTGGGGTGCACGTGCACCAGCCTTCGCGGCGTCTCCACAGAGCGCTGATACTCAGCAGGGTGTTAGCTTGAGGTGGGAGCTGACAGGCTCCAAGGTAAATGGTAGATGTGAGATTAGGTGAGAAGACGGAGTAGGGAATGAAAGTACGGTGGCTAGCGCTAAGCCCTGCTGTCACTACTAACCTTTGCCAGGGCTTTGGGCTTTCCTGTCAAAACCGGTCACTGTGTGTTTGTCCAAGGTCTCTGCAGAATAGAGATAGCGGTGGGACATCACATCCTGTGAATGTCTGGGTCTGACAGGGGCCGTGAATCACTCCAGGATTGAGACCATCATCTTTGGATTTCTCCTGAAGCCACGGCCACGTCAAGTCTCGTATTTTCTCCCCTTGATTTTGACATTTTGCTGAAGATCAGAAAGAGTGGCGTCATTGTTCGGGCGCCCTGTTTTTGTTTGTGTACAAGTGTGCGTGCGTTTGTCAAATGCAAGTGTCTCCGTTCCGCTCCATACATTTGTCTGTAGAGAATGGAATTTTCAATTTTACCTGTCACTTCACTGTCATTCTCCCTCAGGCTACACACACTCTCTCTCTCTTTCTCTTCTGGTTCTTATTTTTTATTTTTGTATAAATCTTTTTATAATTGAATTCAGTTGACAGTAACAACAGCTTCTGTCTTTGCTTTGTCTCTTGCGCACACACACACCAGACATAGAAAGGTGAAATGGGGAGGCGTGGAGCAAAACCTGTTGAGTGTAAACGGCTCTTTGTTTCCCATGTTTGTGCTTTACTGCTCTGTTACAGAAACCACACCTGAGAGTTGCTCTTCTTCACGGTGGCCAAGAGCCATCGTTCTGTATTAGAAAACTGGAATGACTCCTTATAATTTGCATTTATTTGATTCAGTAAACTTTTACATTTTATTGGTGAAGTTACTTTTATATATATATTGCCAATTTAAACTGAATATTTTCCTTCAAACTGTATTTTAATTAAAAAATGTCTATTATGTATAAAACAGAACAGATAAACAATCCTGGAAAGTGAAATCCTAATTTACAAACCATTTCGTCATCTTTGATGATGAAACCATTATCGCTCAGTTTGTGCCGATTTTAGAGAGTGAGAGAAAGTGCTGTACACACTGTATTTGTCAGGTGTGATTGTGTGGGTGAAAAAAGTAACAACCATAGTGTGGAGCTAAGAAACACCACACTACTACATGTCAGACAGGTCGGGACTTTCCCTATTCTTGACTTTGTTGTTGTACATTTTAGGTGTAAACCTGATATCCATACATTCATCAAGTAATGGTTTATTAGTCTTTAATCATGCTAGCAGCACCTTTAATTACTCCAAATCACAGTAATTACCTCAGCGGGTTAGTCATTGCTGGGTATTGAAAACACTGCGGCAGAGACTTGTATTACTCAGAAGCAGCCAACGAAGAAAACAGACTGAGCAGTGATATGACCCCCTTGACAGGTAAGGGTGAACCACAGTTCTGTAGCTAGGCAACCCAGGTCGCAGGGACAGAATGGTGGTCAGCTGAAGGGCTTGAAGTCAATAACCATCTTAAAAGCTCTTCTTACAGCCTTAAGAGCTCTGCAGTGCAGGCAGTAAAAAGCACACACACATAATTTGAAAAAAGGTGCGTGGGTGTATACAGAGACACACAATGCACATACACTCGCACTCTCAGCTTTTATTGCTTTTCTGTATATTTTTTTTCCTCTATATAGTGAATATTACATTGACATGATTGATGGAACAGAAAATGAGTGACTCTCCGGATGTGCTGAGAAAATGTATTTCATATTTATCACAAAGTGCTGCCTCTCACCGCTGCAGATGAGCCTTGAAATTTCATAGTGTCTCACAAACAGGATCCATGGAACTAGTAGAAATCGCCCAGTTGAAGGTTACATGACGTAGACCGTATATAAGAAATGGACGAGGTGCAAAATGTAGTGTGTGTG